TTCATGAGGCATTGTGAAGTGGGGTAACTTGAGCCTGATTTTGATTTGCAGGTTAATGTTACTGGAAGTGAAATTATGTATTGCAACATCCAGGGAATTTTCCCCTATGCTCAGTTAAATAATTTCGATTCTAATAGCATGACCTTAAACGTCAGAAATAGTTCTAAGTTACCTGACTTTACAACTCATCCAACTTTTTAGTCCTTTGAGAATATTTTAATTTCAAAAACCTTACAAAACGTGTCTGGCTATGTCAAGGGCTGCCATGCATTCAGCCATTTCAAGGGGAAGCCCATGCCCTGCTTATTTCCCATGCAACCTTTTCTCCTCCCCCCCCTGTATGTCAATTTTATTGCTTTGCCACTGGAATGCTTGTTCATGCATCATCCACACTGTAGGACTTCTTAATTTCCCAAAATTCAGTGAAAATAAATAACTCCTTCTGGAACAGTTGACATTGCCATCAACTTCTGAGTTGTAAGTAGGGCTCTACCAATTCTAAAATGTTGCCAATATGCTGATTCCCAATGTATGTTTTCAAAACATGGCTGGTACTGGTACTGATGCCAATTTTTGTGCCTTGTTGAGTTGTATGAGCAATTTTCACTGCAACACTGTCAAGATGGCATTTACTTGAAGTGGGTGCATAAGTTCTGCAGTTAAGGAAGTGAAAGACTATTTCAATGATTTATTGATTGAAATCACAAAAAATCACAGCTATAAGTAGGGTCCAAATCACAGAAATACCCCAAAATATACATTCTGCTTCCAAGAAAGTCACTCTCCTGCAAGGTTGAGATTCACATCACTTCCTTTGCATCTTACATGACTTTAGCAATTTGAAGCAACAAGATAAAAAATTTGAAGAGAGTTTCAACCAAAAATGAGGGCAAAGGGTCTTCTCAACATCAACAACAACTTCCTGTTACAAAGGTAGCATATGCATAGATTCATGACTAATGAGGGAAGTGTCACTTTAGCTCATAATGCTTCATTACTCAAAATTCAAGAACTTCAAATTGGATCTCAAGAAAAGAAGCATATCTGTTTAGTTTTTTTTGTTATTTTTTTTACCAAAGAGGCTTTTTCCTTTTATCAGAGTACACTAGCCTGTTCATGCCCTATCATCAGTCAGAGTAGGCCTATTAGGGAACACACATAGGCTACATCTATCTGTCTAACTTTAAGCTTACTGTTAATCCTATCACATAGGAATCATAAATGCCATTCAACATAGTGATATAACTCAGTGAAATGACTTGATAGACTGGGACTGGGAATGTTGAGACTATATTCCCTTCATAATAAGAAGTCAATTCAAGACTCAGAGCATATGCCTAAAATATGGATAATAGCTATTACTTCTTGACAATTCAATGCAGCCATTCAGTGCACTTGCTCGTTTGTAGCATGGTGCATGTGGCGGGAAGAATTAGCACTCATTTTAGAATCTGGTTTCCACCTATATGCCCAAAGTTACATTCCTGGAAATAAGCACAGATCGCATGCACAATTGCTGGTCAAGGGTTTCCTGATCCACAATAGAAGGGCAGGAAATCTAAGTACATTGTAGAGCTTGAGAATTTGACTACCTTATGCACATGAGTATAAAAAAAAAATTGTAGGATTGGCAGGCATGAAGATCAGTTTTACCAATTTAGTGAAAAACATAAATTGACCAGCCTCCGATGACCGATCTTCAAGTCAGTACAGCCCTAGTTGTAAGCCAATGGGGTGCACACTGTTCATGTCAGGGAAGGAGCTATGAAAAGGGAAGGGGATTAGAGATTAGAGATGTGCAAGGTGTTATGATATATCCATCAGAGGGATGGATGTATCAATGAATGAAACTCAATTAATTTTTCGAAATCAAATTAATTTTCAAAATGCTTTGATGTTGATGAAACCTTTTAAAAAAAATAACAGTGGCATATTTTATGGGAGGAGATGAGGGAGACAGCAGCCCCTCCACTTCCAGCAACCTTTAAAAGTGTTCAATATTCCCTTTGAGGTATTCATTCTCTCCTGAGAACCCCAGAATGGGTGTTGGTATGTATTAGGCTTTTCTTTTTGTGCCATATTAGAAATGACACCAGATATGCATGATACAAGTAATTCAACAAAAATATTAAAATGTAGCCATAATTTTATTGGTTCAACTTTTACAGCTCTTGTTCTTGTTCAACTAGCCTTTTAGCATTCTTTTAATATATTAAACTGTGATGAAATATTTGTTTAGTTGATATTGGGAGAGTCCCAAAACAGGCTAGAAGTGTGATTTCTCTATTTAGCCCTATGAAACAGATTAGCAGAGGGTAAGGTCTATTTGAGTCAAATATTGCCAAAAGAAAAGAAGCTGTCATTGTCATGCTTAACCTTTTTCAGTCTGCATTTCCTGAAAATTTATTCACAGCCAAGTTTGATTTTAAATATCCCTGCTCTGGTTATTCTCACTGTATACTTTAGGAATTTTTTTTTGTCTTTATATTAAAATTTTACTGGAAACAAAGCATATTTCTTACTCTCTGTAAACCCTAAATTTGTGTTGGGAGAGACCCAACATGGAACCCAACAGAGAAAAATCTAATGTCACAGATTCTCCAACTGTTGACTGGAACAGGTTAACCTCATGAGTTGGGAATTTCTTGAATAGAATTCTACTATCAGAGTAAGAACTTTTTTCCATGAGAGTAATAATTTGTGTTTGTGTGTATACATTTTTACTCTTATTCATGTTTATACTTCTATTTTGAGTTTCAAGTTTATATTTAATTCAATAGCATGACATATTTAAATGACAAACTCACCTAGGAAGAGTTTCACCATTTTTATGTATATTTCATACTCACTTAAGAAAAATATAAGTGCCCTTTCATCAATGTACTCTGCATAAATTCATTATGTCTGCCCCAGTCATTTTGTCAGTAACTGGAGCATAGTCATTGCAAGTAAGTTAGCCATATTCAGTGATTGTGTGATACTACAAGTGAAAGAAGGAAAAAAATTATGCAGAAGATCTTGTCAGATCTTTCCCTTTTGGAATGATCAACAAAGTGAAGAAGAAGAAAAGAAGTCGTTGAGCAAATTAAGAGCTGTAGGTGTTCTATGTTATGAAAAGAATGTTGTTTTGTATACATTTTAAGATTTTTATTGTGGGGTTGGTGTGCTTGAATGTAAAGATTGTTGAAAAAAAGTTTGATTCTTTGCAGAACTAAATGCAATAAATATCCACCCAATAAAAAAAAATTGCCCAGCCTAGTTTGGTGGAACCTTTTTTCACTGTGCACTTTACTCAAGCTTCATTTAGCAATACAACTAAAGGATTCTTAGGGATTACCCAAAGAGAATTTGGGTCACTGAAAGGCCTCGGTTCTTTACTGGGCCTTGGGGTCACTGAAAAGTCTAGATAACATGTATAAAAAGAGATTAGAATGGTCATCCAAGGAAATTACTCCAATACCACTTTGAAAAAATTTAATTTAAAATTTGCCATGCCCTAAAAGTCAAAATCTTACATTTTCCTTGCTATTTGTTTTCACTCAATGGTTATTTTGATCAGTTATTGAATTGATAAAAGAATGAGGTTTTCCTTCTCTATGCTGAAGGTGGCCTAAGAAAAACACATGTATCACAAGTAGTCAAACATCACATTCTTTAGGAGATAGGTCATTGGGACTTTTCCTCATTGCATTTTCTGAATTGCAAAAATAAATCAATTTCCTGCTTGCCAATAATGTGTACTACTTGAAAAATTGTCTTGTCATGTTGCTATTCCATACATAGACCTAGATGGATTTAAATACATTGCTTTTATAATGAGTTCACATCCTTTTTTATATAAACCATTGTTTTCTATGGGTATACTAACATTAGAAAAACCAGTGTTTCCTCTGGTCTTACCTTTGATGTGAACTGGTTTTCATTAGATGCCCCTAGAGCATGTGACAAAAAAAATGGCTACACTCATGTCCGGATTTACCTCATCAAGAACTAAAACAAGGAGAGATTTTACAAAAAATGTATTAATAATAAATAGTTGATTTAACATCTGACAGTATATTTTACTTAATATGGGCACCATCAGCCCTGATCACAGCCTCCAAACAGCCTCTGAAGGCTGAGCATGTCTTGATGATGTAATCATTCATGTTGGACCAGGCCTTCGTGATGGAGGACTTCAGGGCTGCCACAGATGAGTGGGGTTTGTTGCAGGCAGCCTCCTCTTCAAATGGCCACATGCTGTAGTCGAGGGGATTAAGATCTGGGGAGCTGGGAGGCCACATATCCTTGTCCCAGAAGGACACAAAGTTGACCTCCAGCCACTTTTGGATCTTCTCCGTAGTGTGGGCTGGGGCCCCATCCTGCTGGAAGACATAGTTGGTGTCTGGAGGGTAGTTGGACTTGATCCAAGGCTTAACGGGCTTTTCCAGAATGTCAATGTACACTTTAGTGTTGACCTTTAGGCCCTGTTCAATGAAGATAGGACATTTTCTTACCATCTGAGGCCACAAGCCCAAAGACCATCACAGAGGCCAGATGCTTGGTCTTGAAGGTGAACCTGATGTGCTCAGGGATGTCCTCAGGCCTCTGGTTGCTGATGTAGTGGTCATGGCAGCTGTTGGAGGCACAGTTGATACAAAAGAGCTTCTCAACTATGAAGAAAATCTGGTTTGCTCTTTTTAAAGATCTGGAGGAGCTTCTGACTTCTTGCTGCTCTCTTGGCTTTGGATGTCTCATTACTCCTGGCCCTTGACTTGGCTCCCAGACCCTCTTTGACAATCCTCCTGACTGTCCTCTTGCTTGCATTCATCTCCTTGGCCATCCTCCTCATGGAGTGGATGGGACTGCACTGGATTTTTCCTTTTATTGCTCTGATTGTCGCCGGAGTCCTTGCGGAACATGGCCTTCCACTTCCAGACTTCTTCTTGACACTGCCCATGATAATTTTGAAATTTTAAACGTAGATAATAAATTTGATTTTAATTGATATATGTGATGAAATTAAATTACATTTTTTATGCACAAATTGCTTTTAAGATGCTCTTTAAAAATATTGAAACATGATAGTAGTGTGGGTGAGGCCGCTGAATGGGAACGTGTTCTCTGTGTGTGTAAGCAGGTGCTATTATATATGGACTGACTCCAATTAGATAAGTACCAGTGAGATTCGGAAGGATTAGGATGTTCAGCAACAATAACAATGGATATATTGAATGTATACAACTCACTCGTACAGTCTACAGGCACCAGGCAGGCGGGAAGTTGATAAGTCGAGGTCAATGGGAATAATTTACGGGTCCCTATACAATCCAGACATACAATACACACCATTATACAATGTCACACAATCTCACACACACACCAAGTCTCTAGTCCACCATCTAGTCTCGCCTCCACCCCCTTGTCCTGGTCCGGGGGAGGTCTCTTGGAGGTGGGAGGTGTCCGGTAGGGGGTGGCTCCTCCTTCACTCCTTGGTGAGGTCTGCCGCTAAACCCACAGTAGTGTTTTGCAATTACTCATTTCAATCACAAATGCAATCCCTAGTCTGATGATGGCCTAGACCTACCCCTATTCCAGATGATGATTTAGCCCTATACTTGGCTTATTAACTCCAGAAAAAAAAGTGTACATATCCAAGGCATTGGGCCCCAAAGTCAATTTTTTTTCAGAGCAATTATTCTGTTTATGTAGGAGATGCTCGGTTGAACTACAATACATGACAAGAAGAAATTTCAGTGCTACAGGGCAAGAGTTGCCAGAGGAGATCCCTTGCCATTCTGTAGTTATTTTAGCTATTATGTTGTGAAAATTTAGGCCCAGTGATTCCCATTCTTCTGGAAGAATGTCAAGCATATCTGACAAACTGGGTTTGGACTCTCAGCCCAGGACCCTTCGCCTTGGTGAGAGTTTCAAAAGCAGCAAAAGTTCACCCTTTCACACCATCAGATGTGAGTTTCTCATTTCAACCTAGAGGAAATTAAGTTTTTCCTTGTTTACATTATTCCATTCTTGTATGTCATGGTTATTTTTTCCCCAGATGACTTCAAACCAGCAAGTGTTGATCCCAACAAGGTGGCCACATTGGATGTTGGTGAAAACAGTCAGGTGACAGTGTCAGTGCCTCATGTGGAAGGGCGTGGAACAGCACAGACTGTGTATAAAGGTTCCAGGCGCCCATATGCAAAAGAGTGCATTCTCATCATTGACCATGATACTGGAGAAATCACCCTTGAGAAACTTGCCAACAATATCCAGGTGAAGAAGACAAGGTACAGTCTGAATCCTTCCTGGTTCACTATTTTACTTTAACACTTTCGCTCCAAACGACATACTAGTACGTCACCCCTTTTCTCGCAGCAGGTTCCGAGTGATGTACTGGTATGTCCTGGAGATTCGCGCTGTGATATAAAAGTGCAGGATTTTGATGCATCATTGGGGTTTGGAGATATTCATGGTTTTGAGCCTGTACTTCGTTACTCTCTTGTTTGATTTGGTGAAATTGACTTTGTGTACAAAACAGAGGTGAAACGAGATTTGTGTCAGTCTGCTGGAAATTAACAACCTGGCAGATAGAGGGTCTTCTGCTCTGCATCATGCTGCATCACAAAATCTTCCATTTTCTTATAAATTTTTTATAAACAGCAGAATATCTTCTGATTCTTGATCAGAACTTGAAGATGAATCAAGTGGTAAGTATTAAAAATTAAACATTATACTATGAAATCACTTTCAAAAGAAGTGTTGCGTTGAAATCTCGAAAATTGAGTGGGCAGAGGAAATGGAGGGATATAACAATTCAGTGCAGTGTCTGTGGAGTGCCATTATGCATTATTCTGTGTTTTGAGGCTTACCACACAAAGAAAAGGTTCTGAGAATCATGGGCCAAAAAATAACATGCATAGACTTAAAGACAAATATTAAGTCCCATGATATTCACTACATGTACAACTATTTTTTTTTGTGAAATGTGACATGAATTTCAATTTGAGTTAATTTCTCTAAATAATTAAATTCTGAAATATATGTGTATTCCTCAGCAAACCCCTTACTTTGCAAATAAAATTAATCTATTCAATACAATCAAATTTCTGTCTTTGCTCATTATTTTTCTCTGCATTTTTTTCTGAACCCTATTACACCCCAGGGTTCTGTGAATAGTGCAATTTAAATGTGCGCCAGAGCAAAAGTGTTAAGTTTCATTTCAACTCAATTAATTATTTTTATTAGGTCAGAGGGATTTCGTGGTGCATCTCAAGCACTGCCTCCCACCAAGAAGTCTCCTGAAAGTGAGAGGTCAGAGGGAGCCAGTATGTCATCATCACAGGAGAGGTCAGAGGGAACCAGTATGTCATCAAGACAAGAGAGGTCAGAGGGAGCCAGTATGTCATCGAGACAGGAGAGGTCAGAGGGAGCCAGTATGTCATCAAGACAGGAGAGGTCAGAGGGAACCAGTATGTCATCAACACAGGAGAGGACAAGCAAGAGGTCTCTTACTGCTGTTGAAAGGAGCTCGACTTCCAGGAAGAAGAAAGAACATTCTTCTCTCCTTTCCATGCCCACCATTGGGGATCTTGAGGAAACTGAAACCAAGCAGGTTTCTGTAAGTTCCATTAAGGACTTGGAATGGAGATGAACAGCCTCCAGTGGCAGCATGATAAGCTATGGCAAGGGAAGTGTCTCATCATCATTGCTTGTATGTTTTAGGAAACCCCTGCAGTGGGTATCCTTTCGAGTGAGGACTCCTCTGATTCTAGTGACAGCAGTGATGTTGATATGGATGATGACTTCATGCAGGAAAATACCAGCATGGGTAAATAATTTTTTTACTTTTTTTTTTAGCACTTGCAACCCCAAGGTTTTCAATGTGATTTGCCCGTACTATGAAAAACCTGGGATTCAAAGTGTTAATAAATACCATAATTCACAACAGCTAATTATTGGGAATCAGTTTAATTCTACAATATTAGGGGATTACAAGGGATTAATTGATAAAATCCAACTATGTTTCTGAGGATTGTTGCCCAGCTATTGCTCTATGAAAATTGTATTCAGCCAAGTGGGAAATTTCCTATTTTTGTGAGTTGAATCTTTTTCCATGTTACCAATCTTGAGAAGTACATCCTATCTAGGTCTATAAATAATTAAAATAATGGAGCTCAATTTTGAGGGGGGAAAGCAACAAAGAACCAGAAGTGAGGGGGTTTTAAGGTATAATACAATGGCTTCATCAGCTTCAGGATCTTACAAGGTACATGAATGCCAATGCTCATGAAAAGTAACTCCTCTGTTTGGACCAGAGTTCTCCTACCTTTCCACATCTCATGCAGTTTATTTATATTTTTTTTGCAAAAAAATGATTGGACATACTGCAGCACAATGTAATGTAAATGTTCTTCTCAATTATAATAAACAAAGGTAGGGAATGCCTATTTGCCTCAGGCATCAAACCTATTTACTGTCCCTCAAAGAGGGATACCTCTTCATGGTCCTGTAAAAGGCCTTTTTGGCAGCTTAGTTTTGTCAAGGCTGAAGCCTGGCATGTATGATGTTTAACATAAGCTACCCCTGGATCTTCTACGTGTCACTGAGAGACGCAGCAGGGCATGTAAGTTATGCTGACACTAGCCAGATGCTCCCCAGTAAGCAAGTCAGTCACCTATACATGCCTTGTACCATGGAAAAAGAACCTGCCCCAGCCAGGCTCATTTCCTCACCTCCTGGGTTGGACTTGGAACCCCTAACTTCTTTGCTAGTGAACTGTGTTCTTCATGCATTTTCTCCTCCATTATTGGAAATAGAACACGCAAACACAATGCAATATGGGAAATATGCAAAAGACATGAGATATTACCACTTGTGCAGAATGGCTTTGCTTACTATATCCTTTTACATTTCTAGGGAAGTCTCAAATGGGCAAAGAGATCCAACCTTCAAATCTTCCCAACCAGATCCTACATGAAGACCTGGAACTTTCAGAATCGGGTAGTGACTCGGACTCGTCATGAGCTGATTCCCTCTCCATTATTCCTCTCTTCTATTTCCTGTGCATTTGGTGCACATGAGAACAAAGTTACCAGTGTCAACATGATGGTATCCTTCTTGCTTGTTGTCATCTTGCATGATTAAGAAATAGAGATTATTTTTTGTCATATCAGATTTTTTTTGCTCTTATCATTATTGATCAGTGAGAAAATTGTGCTTATATGAGGGAATTTGTTGAGATACTGTATGGTGATTTCAAAGAAAAATATGCTTCTCTCTGCTGATCCCTAACCCTATGCTTATATGACAGTACATTATCCAGGTTCCTCCTACCTGATCTCATGCTGGGGAAGTCCAAAGCCTGCCCTGTATATTCGTGTGGAATTATGAGATAGTATTTTACTTCCATTGGCCGAAGGCAGAACAAGTATCAAAAATAATATTTGATCCAAACGAAAGGAATAGCTAGGTTACATTCAGTGGCATTAAGTATGTCCTAAAATTTATAGAAGCCATGGAAACCACTCTAAGTAACTAGCGCCATTTGCAATCAGATTCACATCGTTATAAGTTTTAAACCTTCAATTTACTCAGGGATGTCCAACATTAGTGTTGGATGATGTGCTGGTTGAAGTCTCTGCGATAGGACATTACATTAGCTTCACACAGAGTGATTTTTTCATCAACTTACCCACAAAAATGGAGTAAAAGTTTTTATCGTATAAAAATAATATTTGCGGGGAACACGCACTACACTTATAACATTTCATCCACATTATGTTAGCAACGCTGCAGAGCAATCTTCGTAGAGGGCAGCACTTTTAGTAGCAAGATGCCGTTAACATTAGAACAGCGAGTGCTTTTCATAGAAACTTACGTGAAGCGCGGGTCGTTCAACAAGTACCAGACAGAATTCCGCGCGGTGCCTAGTGCCTACTGCCACAATATGCCTAGTAAACCAAGCATGTGGAAGATTGTTTAGAGATTCAAGGCAACAGGCTGTGTTATGTCAATATCGCGCACTAACTGTGTTGTTGCGCCTCATGTCACACATCAAGAATGACCATGGCGGAATTGGAGCCCTCTTTTCGGCGACAGTATCATTTCAAAGGGATTATGGTTTCCCTGCTCTCCAGACGTACACCCTGACTACTTCCTGTGTGTCTTTATCAGAAGCAAGCCTACGAATCCATTCCGCTCATACGACTGGAGTTGCAAAACAACTCTAGAAACATTGTTCAGAACATCCCGCCAAGCGTGCTACGAAAGATATTCGTCACCATGCACACCTTTGTATTGAGTGTGGCGATGCTCGTTTCCAGCCTCTGCTGTGAACCTAGCACCCTGTGGATCAAATAAGTGTAGAGCGGGTTCCCTGCAAATATAATTTTTTGGCGATAAAAAACCTGTTTATTCCATTTGTGTGGGTTAACTGATGATAAAATCACCCTGTGTATGACACACTCGTGTCTACTAGGTGCAGCGAGCTTATTCACCCGTAGGATTGTTAGAGAATGGTAAAGATAGGCGGGTGACATAGAAACTAACCAAAGATGCTCTCAAGAATATCCTAATAAGGCATTTCAAGAGGATATACACTCGTGCGGCATTTAACTTAGTGCTTGAACGCATTAAGTTAAATCCTGCCATGAACCTGTAGGTTGGGACTAGAAGGATATAGGTGAGACCTGAAAATTAATGGAACTAGTTATATCGCCGTTCATTCGTATGGCACGAATTTTATTTCGACGAATTTCTTCCTGCAAATTTTCCTGACCGTGAATTGCTACGAAAAGTCGTTGACTCGAAAACGGTTTAGGATCGAAATGTGATAGGATCTCATACTCGTAGGCTCTCTCAGCCTCTTTTCAAAATTGTCGATTGGAGAATTTCAGAGACAGGGGATTAAGACTGTCATCAAAGAAGCCGACTCGAATGAATATTACGGTGATATATTTGGAGCACGAAATGAGCCTTGTGTCGAATCGATGAATTGTAAATTGCATATGCTCTTCACGTAAAATGTAGAGGGAATCATGGAATGGGAACATGGGAACCTCAAATTGTCGCTTCAGCCATTTTCTCAGGAGTGGCTGACTGAATCAGTTTTCGAATCCAAATCTTAAAAAGAAACGTTGATCTCGTTCGCCTTGCAGAAAAACTTGGTCTGTACATACTGTATGTAGACCAATATTCGGTTCTGAATCAATTAATCCTTTCAGTCGCGGTCCATGCAATTATTATGCTTGATTCACGCTGGCTTTTATGTGAGTATTGCATTCCTAGATTCATTAACGAGACTCTGGTGCTGAAATGAAGGATCCTCTTGGACATGGTCACGCCAGGGCAGCCAAATGCGATAATCGCTAACTTTGTCTTGTCAGAAAATTTTGAGACGAGAGATTCCTTAGCAGCTTATAAATGTTGTCAATATTTATGCGAATGACCTGGAAAGGTGACAAAAAAAATTCATGACTCAGTTAAACTTTGAGGGGACCTCTCGATTCTCTAGGGACACATCATGACATGAATGACTCTTGCGTTGACGGAACTGACGAAATGACAGGAAGAGCAGTGGCGTTGATGCGGGGGCGTGTACCACTTGAGGTGATGCGCTTGAGAAAGTCGGTTTCGAGCTCGCAATCGGCTCACCTGTTGCTCTATAAGCCTCACATGTGTCACAATGAACTCGCCTCGTTACCGCTACGTGAGGAAAACGCTATGCCTGGCTAAGAATGACATCTAAGGGATAACATAGTACGCTTACGAATGTATTATATCTTTGCAGGCAATTCTTACTCCCCGATGCTTGTTTCCTTGTTTTTATTTTTTTATTTTCTTTGGGGGGAGGGGGGAGGGGGGGGGGCAGCGTGATCCCACACGATTCTTACTCTATTTCGTGCGTAACATTTTTGGCTCTCCAGTTATTAATTCCAGAGAAGGAATGTGAAGAACCTTTACCGACGTGCCATGGTCCATCATCAAGAACGTGAGTGCTTTATGATGAGTGCTCATGCACACCCTTGCCTTGTTTTGACTAACCTGAAATGTGAAGCTGCCTCGATGATAGATCGGAAGATGGCCGAAGTGGGGACTCCAGCAGTGGTTATCTACATTTATTCATTTAAATTACTTCATTTATGTAAATACGATGGGCGTCCAAACTCCCTAGCACATGCGCTTCGAGAGCCTTCTGAAAGTGTGGCTCACGGTGGCTCGAGAGTATTTCCAAGCCAAAAATGTTTATTTATACATTTAAGTTTTTGAAGACTTTCTGAAAAATGTAAGGCTTTTTCCAGACGAAGATGAGAGGAATGGAACATGGACAGCTGAAATCTTACCCTTTGAAAATTTGGATCCACATTCGATCGATATAGTTATCAATTCTCCAATAAATATATGAAGTACTGCATTTTACTATTAATGGAAACGGTCCGCAAAAGAGTGGAAGCTTTGGGAATGCGGCTCGCAAAGTCAGAGTTTACGTCTCACCCCCACCGGGAAGGTGTCTTCCACTTTCGCCCCCGAGGCTAAATTCATAGATAGTTGCTAAAATTTTCCCCTTTATCTCATCTCGATAAACAGCGGCGAGAGTGCACAGAGGCGACCTTCCAAATGTTGATTTCGTGACTGATAACCACGTCTGCCTTGACCTTTTAAAAGGGAAGGAAAGATTAACTCCCAGTTTCATTTTCCCACCCTATGTAAGATAGATACTGAAAGTGACTTGGAGTGGATAGGAACTATAGTCCCTCATGGATTTAGAAATCATTGTTCTTATGAATAATCTTATGAAGCAGTCAAATAATGATTGTATAAAATACACAAATTAGAAGGTCATACAGCTAAAAAAAAAAAAACTTGCATCTGGACGAACTGCTTCCGGAGGAACCGATGGTCTAACGTCTAACCAAATGACACCACATGATACAGGGCTGCGACTTTTTTTAAATATAAATTTCGTTTGTCCGAAATAGATGGACTCCGGAGATCGTCAATCCGAGCCTCCCAGTCCCTGTATTTATTTTTCTTCCTTATCCTGGCACCCACTGTCTCCAGCACAACCAGCCGCGATTCCAAGTGCGATTTTCCCTTCTAAACCGAAGCCACGAATTGAAAAATGTTTAAGCGGCTCTTTCTATCAGTCATGAAAATCAGGCGTGGAAAGTCGCCCCTGTTTACTTTCGCCCCAACCGTGTGTAGATCGAAGATTAAATCGCATCTTGCGATTCTTGTCAATCGGAATGCGGGGGCGAGATTCCACTGGGGCGATAGTGGAAATAATCACCGGGAAAGCTTTAGCATCTCCGATCTAGACGGTCGGATGGGAGCCGGAAACTAAAATAATTTTCAGATCGAACTTTAAAACTTGGAAATTATACGCTGTACTTTTTTGTGTAATGCCAAAGGAGTACGTTGCATTTAAAGAAGCGAGAAAAAGTGACGTCACTCGTAGAGTTCTATTCTGCGCCCTATGCCTGAAATGCCGTTGGGGTCGAGCAAAGACACCTGTCAATTGCAGGCAATTATGTGATTAGAGGAAAATTGGGGAGGGGAGGACATCATCATTCACTATAATAAATGTTTGCCACTCTTTTCGCGTCGTCGTTCCGTCATCGCGTCGAAAGTCGGCGCGGGGGCAAATGCCGACTGCCAGGTGGCCGGAATCCCATTATGCGTAATTGCATGCATGTAGAATGACTGTAATTCCTAAAAGCTAATATGAAGAGAGGTAAAATGCCGAAGGTTAAAAACACTTCAAGGACGTTCGAATTTCCTGGTTCCTTTGTCGCAAAGTATTAGCGTTAATGGACAAATCTTCCGATGACGTTTCGGATCACAAGATACAAAAAGATAGCCACGGCACACCACATATTATATTCTCACGCATTTGGCGTTAGTGAGCATCATGTTCTAGAAGGTTTTATTTTTTTTTATGTGGTGGCTGTAAAAAAAAAAATTAGCGAAAAGTTGGCAAAAATAAAGACATCACGCTACAGAGGGTTAAACAAAATTCAGGAATTGTGATACGTGAGAGAGTTGCTTATAGGCAACTCTCGTAGAGGAATAGTCATCATATCAGAAATGAAGAGCTTAGGAGGGAGAGAGATGGGGAAGGCAAGAAAAGCCATCGCGATGGCGATGCAGAAAG